AACACCAAGATCAGTTAACAATGTGCTAATCCATGTAACTTCAGCTGCAACATCAACAACACTTTTGTATTCAGCTTCCATAGTTGACCTAGACAGTGAATATTGTTTCTTCGAACTCCACACAACAATACATTTACCAATAAACTCACCATAGCCCGATACTGACCTTCGATCATCCAGATTCGCGCCCTAGTATGCATCTGCAAAGGATGAGACCAACACTCTAGTGTTAGTTGGCGAGAACAACAATCCATAATTCACAATTCCTGCTAGGTACCTAAGGATTCTCTTTACTGCAGCAAGATGAGTCACTTGAGGTGCATGCATGAACTGAGCAACTTTGCCTAAACTCAACGATAAATCAGGTCGAGTGTGACATAGGTAAAGTAACGAGCCAACAATGCTCCTATATTCACATGCATCCTCTAACAGCTCTCCTTCCTCACGAGACAATTTACTAGACAGAGTCATAGGTGTAGAACACACAACTGCAGTTTTCATACCAGCCTTTTCCAGTAACTCTAACGCAAACTTATTTTGACTAAACACAAGCGACTTGCCACCTCATAATACTTCAATCCCTAGGAAATAACTCAATGCTCCCAAATACTTGAGAGAGAAATTCCCTTGTAACATAGAAAAAATTGTCTTAATCCCATGCGATGATCCTCCTGTGATCAATATGTCATCCACATACACTAATAGATATACTCGATCAACACCATTGTCTTTAAAAAACAGAGATGAATCTGCTCGAGACACTTAAAACCCTATTTCAAAAAATGTTTCTTTTAGTTGGGAGTGCCAATTGCGAGGTGCTTGCTTTAGCCCATACAAAGCCTTATGCAGTTTACAAACCAAGGGGGAGCCATCATCAGCCAACTGTTCGAAGCCCGGTGGTTGTTGCATAAACACATCCTCTTTAAGATTACCATTGAGGAAGGCATTGTTTATATCTATATGCCTCAACTCCCATGCATTAGATACTGCTAAAGCAAGAATAACATTCAATGTAGAGAATTTAACCACCGGACTAAAAGTATCACAAAACTCATGTCCAGGAACTTGAGTGAACCCTTTGACCACTAATCAAGCCTTATGCCGATGAATAGAGCCATCAGGGTTGCGTTTTTAGTTTAAACAGTCATTTACAACCAACTGTTGTTTTTCCATGCGGGAGCTTGACCAATAACCAAGTCTCACTCTTCTATAATACATCAACTTCAGCCTGATATGCATTCTTCCATTCTGAAGATTGCAGTGCTTCCTGCATACTCGCAGGGATTTTATCATCAAAAATAACTTGAAAACGCTTTTGGTTTGAAAACGCCGCATTTACTCCTTGTCAACATTGGATGAACATTTTGTAGTTGACATGTTCTAGTGTTTTGACTGAGTTCTTGCACCACAAATTGATCACGACTACTGGTATTACCATGTACTCCTGATATTTCAGCAGTATATACCCCATCATAGTGTGCTTCCTCATTATTCAGTTGTTCTGAATGCTGATTAATGTTGCCATTACCACTATCATGCAAGCCAGGGCTGTCACCCATATGCAAATCAGATTCTTCATGCATATTTATACTGCCCTCATAGTTCTGTGACCCGCTTCTCGGGGTTCCGTAAAGATGTAGATTTCTGCCACCTTGTATGTTGGCAAGTTGCTTGATATTTGAGACAATTTCAAGCTTCTAAGAACAACACGTGTTTTTGTCAAGAAGAATTGTGTTGCTGCTTCTTTTTTCAAAGGGAAACACCTATTCATTAAACGCCACATGCCTTGATATGTGTTGCATGTCAATCGATGAACAATGCCAGACTTAGCCAAGATATCAGTGAAGGTTCGAAACTCCCCATCCCAATCACTTTGAACTGCTTTGATAGAAAGGCCAAATTGTGTTTTTACAATTTTCTGAAATAACTGAAAGGCTACAATGGCTTGAGACTTTGTGTGAAGCAAGTAAAGCCACATGTGTCGAGAGAATGCATCAACAAATGAGATGTAATATCGAAATCCATTTGAAGAAACATGAGGAGGTCCCCATAAATAAGTATGAACAAGCTGAAAATGAGAACTATATTCAGTAGTAGATTGAACAAATGGTAGTTTGTGACTCTTGCCTATATGACAAGAAGAACATACTTTGTTTACATCAAAAGAAAGCTTTACATTAATAAGTTTTTCTATCTTATTCAATGTGTCAAATGAAGGATGACCCAATCGCCTATGCCATAACTCATCAATTGGAAAAGACTTCAAAGCAACATTGACATCTCCCTTCACTGCTGCACAGTCTTTCACAAAGGAATATAAACCATCTGCTTCTTCACCACTCAACAAGACTTGTCCAGTTGCCTCATCATGCACATAACATTTCTTGGAATATAAGTCAAGAAAGACATTGTTGTCCCTAGCAAGCTTAGAGAGCGATAGAAGATTTTTTGGTTATTTGAGGGACATGTAACAAGTCATTTAGCAATAATACACGAGAAACAGAAGGCATAACAGATCTGCCAACCATATCAATATCAAGTGATACTCCATTACCTACAATAAGTTTACATGGTCCAAGGAATTCAGATTGATTCACCATATTAAATGCATCAGGGGTTACATGATGTGTGGCACCTGAGTCCACCACCCACCGATCAACAGCTTTAGTAACCACATTAGCCTGTGGCTGAGTACTAGAAGAAGCATCCAAACATCCTTTAGAGTAATATTCATAACTCTAACTTCTTTTACCAGAAGTATAACGCATATTCGCTGAGCTTTCTTTGGATTAACCATAACTGTTAGATGTCACGCAGGTGAATTCTTCATCATATCGATGCCAACATCGATCAACTAGGTGGCCAAGTTTTCCACAGAGCTGACACTGCAACCTTGTTCGCCTACTCCCCCTTCCACTATTCCTCATACCAGGTACATTAATAGAACAATTTGACTTAGAATCTTGACGATTGTGAGCATTGTAGGATCCACGACCCACACTACCATGAGCAAGATTTGCACTAACCGACAGCAGATCATTTTGTTCATCAAATCTAGCCAACGGTGACTCAGGATCCATTAACATCGTGTAAATGTTATCTAGTGACAACGTTTCCTTCATGGTTGTTATAATTGCCATGAATGGCTGGTATTCACTTGGTAAACCTTTCAAGATTGTAACAATAAGCTCAACATGAGAAATAGCACTCCCACAAGAAGCAAGTGCATCACACACCTCTTTCACCTGTGTAAGATATGTGTGCATGCTGTCACTGCCTTTCTTTAACGAGTGAAGTTTGTAGTGAATGTTCATTAACCCTGTTGTAGACCTATTTGCAAAGAATTGTAACACTATTTTCCAAACCGCCACAGCTGTTTCTGCTCCCACGAACTAAGGAAGAAGATGAGGGCTGATGGTCGATAACAGCCAAGAAGCAACAACACTATCTTGTGCAACAAATTCTTCATAGCTTTCATGAAGACGTTCCTCACCATCATCATCCAGCACAGTCTCTGGTGGAGGTAACATAGCTACAGTCAAGAGTCGCTCAAGACGGTGACTCCGAATCGTCAACAAGAGCTGTTGCTTCCATAGCAAAAAGTTTATCTCATAAAAAATAATGTTGACCTTCTTGTTTGATAAACTTTTCGCACATCCAATCGCAAGATCCATTGTAAGAACAAGGCAGCAAGAATGAAACAAGCAGCGTAAAACTATTGAATTCACCCAGAACCACTGGCGATTGATACCATGTTGAGTTACTATCTCTTTAACAAAACATGAGTGTATTCATTCAAGAAAGGATGATTACAAGCAGTACACCAGCAAGCTATTAATACACAGCTTTACAAGCAGTTAATACTAACAACCTAGCTAACCACCTTCAACAACTTAACAAATTCTTAACTGTTGCTGACTCAGCTTACATAGATATCCCATACACACTGCATATACCTCTAATAAGATGCCACCCGCAAAATCGACATGGTCTATGATATGAGTCTTAGGGAACCGTAACCTCTTGACAACACAACAGGTCGATGAGTCGAAGATACGAGGTTCAACAATGGAAAAAAATACTCGGCTCGTACTAGTTTATCATATCACAAGCGTTACGTGAGAATGCTTTATTTCCAGCACCACTTCAATTTCAAATTAGAATACTCATTAACAAGAGTTTTAAGGGGTCTCAAGTTGCACCTATCAACTTGAGAGAACTTTATCAGCATCCTCGATAATCATGTCTATCGGAGAAGACACACTAACAGGGGGCTGCCTAGAGGATTCTATAACACCCGACGAAGAGGGAACGCAACTAATATCGGGCGGCTTGAGGAATCTTTGATCAGTAGTGCGTGAGTCAGTGTCTAAAGCCTCTCCCATCATAGTGTCGCAATTGGTTGTTGTTTTTGTTCTTATTGGAGGAATAACTGAAACTTGCATGGCGCTTTCACTTGGACTTTCATTAAACTTTGCATGCATGGGTTTGTTCATGGTACTGGTCATCTCTAAGACCCTCATGGGCTGCTCATTAATAACGCTTGTTGTGGTTTTGTTAAAATTTTGGTCCGGCGTTGACTTTGGTTTTTTAAGGTTTTGCACAGGCATATTATTGGCAAGTTTCCTTCCTCCTAAATTGAAGCCCAAATTATTGTCAGTCGAATCTTTCTCCAGATTAGTTTACTGGTCATTTGGAATTTTATTAAGTGGGGAAAATCTTGATCCTGTTTTGGGGTTTCAATGGTTATTCCCTTTTCCATTATTCTCGCCTTGATTCTTGGTAATTTTTCTTGGCTTACATCGTTGAGCAATCATCTAGGGTCCAAAGTTAGATTCACTTGTCATTTCTATCACCGCCAATAAATTTCTCGTAACAAGTTCACAATTTTTCGGTTGAGTTCCGGCTTCCACATCAAGGTTTTTCTCATGGGTAGCACTCGGAGTCACTTGAATCGAGGTGGGTAGACAGTCACGATGGCCAAACTTTTCATAATCGAATCAAATCATCGGTAGCCCTTCGTACTCGATAGAATACCATCTTTCTTCGATCTCGATATTTGGCACAAGGGCTTTACCAAAATCAATCTCAATACAGACACTGGTAAATATTCCTTTAGAAGCATAACTAGTATTGGGATCAACTTTGAGGGCTCGTCCAAGAGTATTTCCCATGGCAAATAACATGCGTTCATTATAATAATGAACGAGAAGCTTAGGGAAGCGAACCCAAACAACCGTAGAATCAATTGAAGTTGATGACGGATAAAATTCGGCAAACCACTTTCGAACAGTCAAATAGTGGCCATAAATAATCCATGGTCCTTCCTCTAGTGCAAAACAAAGATCATCTAGAGATGAAAATTTTATTAAGAAGTAACCATCCCCGACATCGATCAACTCATAGTCCACCTTCGGCATCCACATTCTTTTGATTCTCTCATCAAGAGCACGGAACCCTATAGATTTACCAAGTAACTTTAGAATCAAACAGTTTGACCATCTTACCTTGAGGCTACCTCTAAACTTATCTGAAGTTGTAAGTGATGGCCATGAGTCTTTGCTACCAACTGTGATCAATCTTTCATTCTTCTTAATTGGTCCGAACTCACCCGACTCTTCAAAACCATTAATCAAGCTTTTTCCCATGAGCATATTTCGATAGGACGGTTTCTTGAGGTTTAATGCCTCTAGGCGTGGTGGAGAAATGACAACTTCCTCAATGACGACTTTCAGTTCCCTCACCGTGCTTTCTGGAGTTACTGCTTTAATCTTTTTCTTATTTCTCGTCGGAATATCATTCTTTTGTTCATAGCGTTCTCCTGTCATTCTTAGGGCTTTTCTCATCTTGTTGATATTTTTCATGACATTGTGCATACTAAAAAAATTTTCAAACTTGAAAAACATAAAGTAAATCCCCAAAAGTAATTAAAATTATAAAATATTGTGAAGTATAAAAATTGGGTTCGAGAGTACAATTTTATAAAATTTATCATGTATATTATAAAATGATTTTTTTATCAATGGAATTCTTTTAACAATTTCTACCAGGGGAAGAGGAAAAAGAATTTTTGATCTTAATAGTATCCAAACACAACTTAAGGAAGAGTGGAGGTATGAACTAAGAAATTTTAACTATTTTCTCTAGAGATTATTGACTAATTATTAATTTTTTTAAAATAATTATAAAATGGTTATTAAAATTTATTGAGTTGTTACAAAATGATTTTTTTATTTAATCTAGAGAGTACTTTGTATTGTCATTGGTGCGAGAACTTATAAACTCTAAAAATAACAATAATTTATTTAATCATTAATATAATTTATTTCGTGCATCAAACTGTTACGAAACATTGTTTAGAAAATTTTGACATATCCTTATTTTAATAGATAATTAAATATTATTATTAAAATGTTTAATCATTTCATAATTTTATATATTTTTAAATTAAAAATTAAAATACTATATGAAAATCAAATGAACAAATTTATTTTATTTTTTAATTAAATTATTATTTTATCTAATAAAAATAAATTATATCTATATAGGTCGAATCAAATGGATTAGGTTAAGTACGGTTCAGAAAGGTTTACGTTTGGAGTCGAATTCGGGTGGGGCAATAACTTGACCCGTGGTCATCCCTAGACGCGTGGCATTAATTCGTGCATTGGGTTCCGAGGGGCCAGAAACTTTGGCGCAGTGAATTTCCGTCCATATAAACCAGAGTTTAAACAATTTATAATGGAAAAAGAATCCACATCCCTGGTTTTATCCCTGCATGTCTAACATTTTAACCCTAAAAATAGCTTTTTCAGCCTGTGTGAACCCCATCACCGCCCCTCTCCCATGTCTTCTTCTCATAACCTGTCAACCATGATATATTGCAGGCATATGAGAGAGAGAGTAAGTCCAATATAGCCCATACCACACTCTCTCTCCCCTTTACCCTTTCAGATTCTTCCAAGTGCATCACTGAAATAGTTTTGGCCATTGAAATGGCCTTCCCTCCCAACACTTTCATGTTTCAAACCCTTCACAAAGATCAAAACCCCCCTTATTCCCTCAATTCTCTCCTTTCTCCCCCTTCTCAATTCTTCCATGGTATGTCTCTTCATCCATCTTTTTCTCGCTTTATAGGTGTTTAATTATGTGTCTTTCTCAGGTGTCGGAAAGCTCGAGGAAATTCCGCATGGCGGACATGGAAATGGAGATGATGAATTGTCCGACGATGGATTGCATCAGGGGGAGAAGAAGAGGAGGCTGAACGCGGAACAAGTGAGGGCTTTGGAGAAGAGTTTTGAGCTGGGAAACAAGCTTGGTCCTGAGAGAAAACTGCAGTTGGCTAAGGAATTAGGGTTGAAACCAAGGCAGATAGCGATCTGGTTTCAAAACAGGAGGGCCAGATGTAAGAACAAGCAACTGGAGAAAGATTATGATGCGTTGAAGAAACTGTTTGAAGCTCTCAAAGCTGACAACCATACCCTTCAAGCTCAAAACACCAAACTTACTGCAGAGGTAAATTAACAGGGTTTTCTTTTAAGATCTTCACTTTCATCCAATTCCTTATTTTTAATGTTTCTGCTACATTTGTTGATCACAAATCCAAAGTGTCAGTGTCAGAAAGCAGCAAGTAGTTGTTTTTTTAGTCATCTAAATCGGGGTTTGTTTTCCCCCCTCTTTTTGGTGTAGTTATTGTCTCTGAAGAAGAAAGATTCAAAAGAAACCAGAATCAATAACGAAAACGATGCTTCATGCAGCAATGGAAGCGAAGAAAGTCGTGATTTTAACTTAGATATCTCAAGAACAACAGCGTTGAGAGCTTCGTCCATGAGTCCTGCACCAAACATGGTTCAACTTCTCGAGTGTTCGTCGAAGCCATATGTTCAAGAAGATCCGAGCTTGGACTGCCATATGTTCAATGGAGGAGATGAACAGCAAGGCTTCTGGCCATGGTCTGAGCAATCAATCAAGTTTCCGTTGAACTGAAAAGCATTTCTCCGGCAGTTGCAGCGCGCCATGCACTTGGGGATTGGCTTAGCAATGTTTAAGAAGAAAATTACAAGTTTTCATTTCCATTTCTACATAATTGTTCTTGCTATATATAGATTGTTGTATAGAGCTGGACATATATTTGTTCCGTTTGAGCAGAAAAATCAATATCGAGGAATCGTTTCTCTAGTAATACGTTTTTCTTCCCTTGCTTTTATTGAATTCCTACATATATTTAAGGATAAATTGCAAATTTGTATCCTCAACTTACTTTTCACTTATTTTTAGCCCACTAAAGTTTTTTTAATTACTCTTTATTCCTATTTGAGTCACTTCATCATTAAATACTTAATGGTATTTTGATTGAACATTTGAATTTTAAAATTTATGACATGGTCTCAAAATTTCCTTTTTTTTTAAACAATCTCTAGTTTTGAATTCTCTTTGATTTTTTGATGATAGAGTGCATATCTTCTTTCAAATTCCAATAGTGGAAAAATGGAGGAAGAAATAAGTTGTATATATTCATTCTACTTTAATACGATGATAGATATTGTAAATCAGAATAATTTGAGTTTTCTTAATTTTGTGTTTTGAGTTGAATTTTAAAATAATTAAAAAACAAACTGGTAAATATTAGGAAACGATAAAAAGAGTTTGTCTATATCTTAATTGATAAAAAATAAACATTGAAAAGTGACGATTTTAACGTTAGCATGATATAGGAATGAAAGTATAATAGTTTCATAATGAAAGAAGAAAAGAAATTTAAAGAAAAAGGAAAAGATGATGGGGATACGTTCATTTATTTTCTGAAAAAACAGTTTCCACGTATATTTATACACAAATATAAAAGTATTATAAATTTAAAAAATAATAATAATACCACAAATTGGAGTACGAGTAATATAGAAAACGAAATAGTTAATTAAGGTGCATGTGGTTCCAGGTCTGGCATGTAACATGGGCCATGATAAAATGACTACATATGGATCTATCATTAAAGTGTTATATTCTCATGGTAAATTTTATTTAAATATTTATATAATAATATTATATTATCATTTCAAAAGAAGAGTTCTTAACATTTTATTCAAAATTTCATTAAGTAACGTAGATACAATAGATAAAATTCAAGATTCAATTCGTGGCATGAATTAAATAAATACAAATTTAGTTGAAAAAAGATCATGTATCTTTTTTCAATAATACCTAATAGGGGAAAATAGGGATGACAAAAAAATCCGAACCCGACGGAAAAAATCGAAAATCAAATTAAATGGGGACGTGGAAAAACTGTTTATATTAAACGGGGACGGGGACGAGAAAAAACCGTTTATGTTAAATGGGGACGAGTTTAGTAATCCCCGCCCCGATTACCCGATTACCCGGCCTGATAAATATTAAAAATAATAATTATATATATATATATAATATTAATAAATTTAATTTAATTTAAATTAAAAATATATATAATATATATATATTTAATTTAAATATATATATCCGGCCCGATACCCGTTTAAATAACCGTTTATGCTAAACGGGGATACCCGTTTCCCCGCGGTTTTCCCCGATTACCCGATGGGGATCCCCGTTTAAATCCCCGCGGTTTTTTAAACGGGAATGGGTACGGATTTTTTAAATGGGTACGGGGACAGTTGACCAATACCCGACCCAAACCCGGCCCGTTACCATCCCTAGGGAAAAAGCTTTATTTTATCTCTAAATTTCACTCCTACATTAATTTTTGAGTTTCTTTGCCACATTGATCCTTAAATTTATATTATGTTTATGTTTCTTTTCATATTATACTATTATATTTTTAATAATTATTATATTTTTTGAGATATTAATAATTATTATATTATATTATATTTAAATAACTTATATCAACTCAATTAGATATTATTAAATATTCTTAAATTAATTTTTATAATGTAAATTTATTATAAACTATTGTTCTAAAAACAATTGCTCGAAAAATTTAAAAACGTCCCTCATGATGAGATACATAGACCCTTAAAAAGAATTAAGTTCAATTATGTCAATGTATTTTTCACCCACTGATGTATATATCAACAATGGAGTTTATTTTTCACAGGTGATATCAATTTAATGTTATATTTTTATTTAAATATTAAATAAAAATATAATAATAAATTACTTTCTTGTGAAAAAAGTTCTACCATCCATTATTAAATAATTATATAATTATATATATATATATATATATATATATTAAGGTGACGTATGTACCTTTCATCTGACAATGCAAAGTATCTTACTGTGCGCAATCCCATGTGTAAGATGTGCATGTGAACTACTGTCACCATTCTCTTTCTTTCTTCTAATTTCTCAGTGTTTAATCAAAAAATAAAATAACAGTCCAACTGATAATATCGTAATTATTCTTTATGCTTTTTATTAATATTTATAAAAAAATATTGTATTTTTTCAGAAATTAAATAATGAAGGAAAAGATAGTATATTGTATTGGTTATATTGCAACAATCCTGGATATTGAACAAGCCTTTCTCAGGCATAATATATGAACTTGTCAAAAAATATATAATTCATTGGAAGGCCTTCAAATGAATGGTAACAATCTTGGAAATGGAGAAGTTACACCGTCGACGTCGTCTTGCTAGTTCATTCAATTCTTGACAATGAATTATTCATCGATCTCTATTCCGGTATGCCGAGGCCCACCATGTAGATTTACCAAAACTTCGTCCCCGGCTTTCAGCGAAGTCACGGGAATTGCAGTCTTTCGCATCCGGTTACCTGTGAATCATAGGTGGGGCAAAGCTTAAACCGGTATGATAAGCAGTGTCTGTTACATCCAACATAAGCTAAATGACAGTCGAGAGAAGAAACAAACCTTCATGCGGACAAACCACTGCGACTGTTTCGGCCGTCTGCAGAAGAATGCTGTATATGGTCCGATCATTTGCATCTATCAGCAGCAAATGTATATTTAGAGTAGCATTTTGAATTCTGAATATCGAGTTTGTTATTAACATTCTTATCTTTAGAAACCTGAACGTATGAAAGAGTTCAGCATTACAAAAAAGTATGCCATAAACAAACCTTTGCTTCCACAAGGATAAGTGGTCGGGTCTCGATCTTAACACGGCCAACAATTGCTGTCCGCATTTTACCCGTTTGATCAACTACAATTACCTCTTTGCCGGCTTTTAACTCAGAAAGGTAGCTTGTTTTACCTCCAGGGACCGCAACTAAGGCATGGACAGGCCCCTGCATATTTCCATGAGACCTTGTTCAAAGAACTAGCGTTAAAGAAAGAACAATTATCGATACCGGGCCATGAAAAGGCCCCTGTATATATTCAATACTCAAAAGAAAAGGTGACGACTAAGTTAACTGCTCTGAATATGGGAACGATTGCTTTCTGCGACAACATTTTCGAAAATTGGAGGGTAAGCTAAAGGGATATCTTTTATAGCGGTAGCCAATTTTGAAGGTGAAACTTACGGCATTGACTCAGAAAGGTCTACTTGCAATTTTCTGATACGATCCAAACTAGTTCTAATTTTCTCCATGACTTGATCACACCATGGATGTTTTTCAAAGCTGATTCTAAGGGAATTCTTCCTTACTTTATCCTTTAGTATCTTCTTTATGCATCACTTAATGCTATAAGAATGCTTTTGCTCCTTAAACTATGCTTGAATAATCATATGTTATCATTCAATTGCATACTATATGATTTTCATGCATAACATATGTTTCCACATCTTTACTTAGCTTTATATTATGTTTACATATGTTTTAGATTCATTTATTATGTTTGCATATCATTTACATATCATGGCAGGATGTATTCATTCATTCATTCATTAACTCATGTCATGTTATTCTAGCTCATGTTATGTTTACATTAGCTCACTAGCTTTAAAACCATGTTTCTTTAGCTCATTTTCATGTATGCATCTCTTTTCTAGCTCATACATGTTTTCTTAAAGCTCATAAACGTCCTATGCCTTCTATCTATCTTATATACATGTTATCTTAGGTTCTAGATGATCATTCATAGCTCATATCACTCAAACACCTCACGGCAACATGCATTTTACCTTAAATGAGCTCACACATTGCTTACTTTATTTGTTTGTTGATTTCTATAGGTGAAACACAAAGTAAAGCATATTATGGTAGCTTGGTTAGCTAAAAGGACAAGCATAGTAGCTCACACTAGCTCATGAACGTTATGGTAGCTCATTTCATCACTTAAGGAGCTTCAACCTAGCTCGAAGAGCTAGCATGTAGCTGACCTTAGCTGGAGGAGAGCTTTGGACCAAATTACTGAAAAGTGGACTAAAGGTAGCTGGAAGTAGCTGAGAGAGTAGCTGAGGAGTTGAGAAGAACGAAGCTAACTAACTTGAGTTCATCAAGCTATAGCTCACCTAGTTAGCTACCAAGACACTCACCTAGCTTACCTTAAAGCTAGTTCATCTCTCTAGGCTGCCCATGGACTTCAAGACATCATCCTATGGTTGCAACCTCACCAAAGCATTGCAAGAATACCCATGTGCATTCATGTAGGCTGCCATGTGCACTCCATGTGACATCAAATAGGCGCCAAACCACCAAGGGATGCTTCCTATTCGGCCAAAGACTCCTTTCTCTTCATTTTGTTGCCCAAATAACTTCCAAATACATTCAAAACATCCTTAGGCCGAACCAACACCTTACCATTCTGCCAAGATCATGTATCTTCATTAAAATCATGTATTTTCATTAAAACAAATCATGTGTTTTCAAAGGGGTTTCATCCATAGTCGAACCATCATGTATATATTCGGCCTAAACCCTTTGAAAACTATAAATAGGCTTTGGTATTTAATTTGTAAGAGGACCATTTTGATAATACAAACTCTTTGTGAGATTATTCTCTCTTCAAGTTCTTTTTAGAACTATATCGATTAAGCAAGCTTTCTTAAGTTTGTGGCGTCATTCCTTCCATAGATACTTCGAGTTCCTAGTTCTTATAACTAGTGGGTTCAAGTCCTTGTTTACCACCCCTTAAAGAAGCAATATAAAGTCTGGGTCTTTGTTATTTAAAATTGGTTCTTCTTTGAGTCTTCTTTAAGATAATATCTATCCATCACCATTCACGCCTAAATCAACACCATTCCATTCCCATATTTTCATCATTGAATTATCCTTCATTCATCAACAAGGCATACGTTCAATAACATCATTTGGAGGTCGAATTCATCATCACTTGAAAGATACTTATACAACACTTCCGCAACCTACCTTGATATCATTTCTTTCCATTTCATTTCTTATCAATTTCCATTTCTTTCATTTCTTATTTCTAATTAATCATTTTCTTTCTCATATTGTGCAGATTACTTATCAATTCAAAGTGTAGCATTTAGTGTCTCTCCTAGATCAGGAAACAACAATGCTGACAACTTCTCCATCATTGAAGAAGCTTTGATAGCCTTACATCAAGCGGTATTCAGAGCTTAGTCGGATTGACAATCAGTGCTGCAATAAAAAGCAAAAGAAAGAAAAAAAATCAAAAAGAAAAGAAAAATACTCCTACATCAAATTGGAGTGCAAAAAGAAAGAAAAGAAAAAGAAAAATCAAAAACAAAGAAAAAGAAAAAGTGAAGTAAAATTGCAAAATAGACTCAAAGAGAAGCACATTACAATCTGCCCAACATCAAACTTGAAGGATGTATCCTTGTTGTTTCTTGTGAATGGAGATAGTAAGTGTTGCAACTTGAGTTGTAAGTTAGCTTCATTTTCTCATTATTTCCGTTGAAAACATTTTGATGTTTCGATATAACAAATTAAATTAAAAGAATTTTAATTTTGAAAAAGATTTTTCTAAGCATATTCGATATATTAAATCAAATATCAAAATATTACTCAAAGCATTTCAAAGTTCATTTTAAATCCTTACTAAAGTGTAAAATTAAGTTTTAATATTAAAATAATTTCAAAACAATTTTACAAAGTATTTCGAACCGTTTCAAAGCAAAAAATTACAGTTTGTCCAGAGGGAACCGATTCCCCCTGAATGGTTTGGCTCCAAGAAATTCCAGTATGCTCGGAGGGAACCGATTCCCCCCAGAGGTATCGATTCCCCCACTTTTTAACGGTCGAAATATTTAAATTTTACACTTAGGGAACCGATTCTCCATGAGGGGGTACCGATTCCCCCCACGCTCCAAGCTGTTGTATTAATTGTTTTCACACTTAAACGCTCCAATAACTTCATTAATGATCCCCAACATTCAAAGTGATTCAAGGTGTATTTAAACAAGCTTAGAAGCTATTGATCAACAACAAGAAACATCAAGCAACTAGAATCAAGAGAGAATCAAAGAGAAAGCATCAAACCTCAAGTTTGAGTATTTCAAGCCTAATTTTCATTCAATATTCATTTTGCTTTCAAGAACACTTATTGTGCTCAATTGTATTCATTCTTGAGTGTACTTTTCTTTGTTCTAGAATTGTACAAATAATCTACCTTGTGAGGATTTCCTTGTAAGTTTGCAAATTTGTATTGTTCTCTTTGGGAGAGAGTGTTCTCAAGAATTTGGGGTATAATTCTTGAGGGTTTGTAAGGTTACTCTTTTTCCTCAAAAGAAAGACAAATTAGTGAATTTATGGAAAATCCTTAGTGTGGATAGCTAAGGTAGTGGACGTAAACTTTGGTTGAGAAAGTCGAACCACTCTAAATCGCTGTGCAATTACTTTCAATTTTCTGCAAAAGCTTCCACCAAAATTTTTATTGCCAATTCATCCCCCTCTTGAACGATTCCATCGATCGATTAACTCAACAATTGGCATCAAAGCCTAACTCATTTGAAGGTTTAATCGCCTCTTGAGTCGATTCGGGAAGGGTTACATCGATAATCAAAGTCATCAATGGCCTCCACTTCAAATTTCGACTCCGGTCTCTATTCGATGCCCGTCAATAAGCCTCCTTTCTTCAATGGAGCTAACTATGCCTATTGGAAAATAGGATGATGTACTTCATTCAAGCAAGTGACATGGGAGCATGGAATGTTGTAGAAGAAGGATACATCAAGCCTCTCACTCATCCAAGATTGTGGAGTGAAGGAGAGATAAGAATGTTCCAACTCAACTCCAAAGCCATCCATATCATATTTTGTACTCTTGGACCAGATGAATACGGAAGAGTTTCATCTTGTACAACCGCCAAAGAAATATGGGACAAACTTCAAGTCACTCATGAAGGTACCGATGAGGTAAAGAAATCTAAAATTAATATTCTAACGCATAGCTATGAAAATTTCAGGATGAAACCAAATGAAGATATCAAAGCTATGACGGATAGATTTTCAACGATTGTCAATGGTCTCAAATTGGAGAAATCATTTCAAATGAAAAGCTTGTGAGGAAGTTAGTCTACTCCCTTCCAAAATCGCGGCAATCAAAGAAGATGGCAATCATCGAGTCTAAGGATCTAACATCCTTAACTCTTGAAGAACTAATCGGTTCTCTTCTCACTCATGAAATGATGCTTGAAGATGAAGTGGATCTCGATAAGATTGACGAGACACCAAAGGAGAAGGAGAAGAAGAAAAACATTGGAGTTTCTCTCAAATCCACAAAATATGAGAGTGATTCGAATGACGATGATGATGATGAGGAAATGGCATTATTTGCCAAACAATTCAGAAAGTTGATGATGCCTAACCGAGGAAGAAAATTCAAACATCATGAAGACTTCAAAACTGAATCGAAGGAGAAAGACTCGATCATTTGCTATGAATACAAAAAGCCGGGGCATGTCAAATATGATTGCCCATAATTGAAGAAAAAGGGTCAATCGAAAAAGAAGCACAAGGCTCATGTAGCTACATGGAGCGATGAAGAAGGTTCCGATGAAGAGGAACAAGAAGTTGTAAACTTGTGCTTGATGGCTATCGGGGAAGATTCTAAGGTAACCTCTAACTCATTCGATTTGGATGAATTATCTTATGATGAGTTATTAGAGGATTATAATGGGTTGGCTTCAGATTATAAGACTCTATTTTCAAATTACAAAAATGATATTTCAAAATTGAAAAACAAAATAGTTTTATATCAAAGACCAACAATGAGCTTGAAAGTAAGATCAAAGAATTGCAAATCAAAATTAATGATTTTGAAAAGAAAAATACTGATTTGCATAACTTACTTTCAAAAGTTCATGATGATCATCAAAAGAAGATTGATGATCTTAAAACTTCTTTTAATAAGGTTGGAACAAAAAGTTTTGAAAATGGTGTGAATTCAAAATCCAACTTTGTTAAGAAAAGTTTTAGAAGCTACAATCATAGAAGTCCTCAACGAACCTTGAATGGTAAAATTGTTAGGAGTATATGGGTTCCTAAAGAATTCATTACTACTAAAGATAAGGATGTCCTTCATAAATGGATACAAAAGGGGTAACAACTCGATCTTCTCTTAGAAATATTTGTAATTATGTTGCATTTATTTCATGCATAGAGCCTAAGA